ATAACTCTGAAAGATACACTCATGGACAAAAGGAATTTGTACCTTTTAGCATGTATATCGGGATTCAGACAATAACTCTGAAAGATACACTCATGGACAAAAGGAAGTTGTACCTTTTAGCATGTATATCGGGACTAATGGTCCTAATAAAGTTCTGTATGTATTTTCTCGATTTATCTGTGATTTGAATTTTGTTTGAACCAGATTATATTTGTGGAACATGTAAAACACTTTGGAAATACATGGTTTACGTTGTTACTGAGGCTGTTTTCCCAAATGGCTCGCATCCTTGTTTGTCTGAATCACTTGTTGAAGATGGGAGAATGACTTTCTTGTAAGCAATGCTTAGATGGATTATCGTAAAATCGTTCAAAGTTGACAAAATGTCCGTTGAGATGAAGACTCGATTTCATTGGGACATCCCGTTTGTTATCCGAGTGGCTGATGTAACCAGACCTCAGGTATTTATAACGAACTATTGTGGGGTGTACATTTCCTGCAGAATGTAAAAGAGCTTGGGTTTTTCATACACATACGGATACATATCTGTAGTTATAAGCACACTAATGGATAAAACTTATAAGGAAAAATTCACAAATATTCTCTTCAATGGTTCCCGATTCTTGAAAGAATCCAACCTCAAGAGTCTTATTCTTCTTTCTTATCTCCACGCTGGGTGAAGAAGAATGCGTCTGCCTTTGTTATTAAGACTGGGAGCACTACTCAGTGGCAGGAAACTGACGTAGCTCCAAAAGAAATGGCCGCCTCTGACATGAGGAACAGACACCATGTACAGCTGCTCCTAACATGGAGTACAAACACTGCTCATCCTGTATCCTTGGAGACCTTACAGGGTACTATCAGCATGGCAAGCTGAGCCCAGATTTTAGTGAGCTTGTTACTACTCCCCCTCCTCCTTTTCCATCCGGGGTTGGGACCGGCAAAGGCGCAGAATGAATGTAGGTTATCAAACAGCATTCTGGCAAACTTGTAAATGCATATGTAGAACTTGTTTCCTGTGTAGACATGTGGTGTACTTATGAGTGAAAGCAGTTGCTAACTACTATCAAACATGGTTATAACAGCCTGTACCATGTACATAACAAATGAAATCATTAAGACTCAAATGTTTCTTTTCACAAATAAATCAAACTTCTACTGTCCTTACTGCGTTGAAAATATATTGGGAGGGCTTGGTTCATAAGTGGTAAACTCTTCCAGGGTTTCACCAATTTAATCTACCAGACCGCTTCTTTAGAGCTCTAATACTGTATTGGATCTATTTGTTTATACAGTAGAACTATACCTCCCTGTAAAGGACAACACCTGATTGCAGAGTCAAAGTGTCCTTTAGGGAAAGGTGTCCTCTTACCGGAGAGTTGCTACAGTAGAACCTCCCTGTAAAGGACAATACCTAATTGCAGAGCCAAAGTGTCCTTTAAGGAGAGGTGTCCTCTTACCGGAGAGTTGCTACAGTGAACCTCCCTGTAAAGGACAATACCCAATTGCAGAGCCAAAGTGTCCTTTAGGGAGAGGTGTCCTCTTACCGGAGAGTTGCTACAGTAGAACCTCCCTGTAAAGGATAACAAATACAACAATACAGAGCTAAAGTGTCCTTTAGAGAGAGGTGTTCTATTACCGGAGAGTTGCTAAATAGTAAAAATGATAATTTTACAAATGAAGCCTGTCCTTTGGGGAGAGGTCCGCTAGCAGGGTCTCCGATTAAAGGAGGTTCAACTATATATACAACACTGAAATGGTATTTAAGTAAACTATGGACATAAGCTTTTAGAATAGTAGAATTACATATAAATATTTGCATCGAGCAATGCTCTTCCGCAAACAATGTATTATTTATACTATGTATACTAAGGATAATAATAAAAAATAGTTTTCTCTGTTGAATCGTGTTGGAATTGCTGTTTCCGTGAAGGATGGAATGCTGGAACCATCTAGACAGCCGTTGATATCAGTGTTTGTGGCCTTATCGAGCAATCCTGACCTTGGCCTGTTGTCCTTATCTTGGCTGTTCTACTTGTCTCCTGGCTGTCACACTTTTAGCTTGTGTCATTCTTGTACAAGGTGAAGTATAATTCTCTCTTGGTGTGATAAGACTCTTCGTTATTGGAAGTCTGTTCTTTCTTGAAGACGAAAGATAAAAAACGCAGTGTCTTGAGATATACGTTGAAACTAAGTTGTTTTCTCTCAAAATGCAATGTTGTTGTTGTGTCCAATGAAGAGCCTCAGATGTCTCCGTACATCTCTATCACAGCAATGTTCTGTATCTTGGGTGTGTAAAGCTGCTGTTCTGTGTCAATTTTCTGTTGTTGTTGTGTCCAATGAAGAGCCTCAGATGTCTCCGTACATCTCTATCACAGCAATGTTCTCTATCTTGGGTGTGTAAAGCTGTTGTTTTGGGTCAATTTTCTGTTGTTGTTGTGTCCAATGAAGAGCCTCAGATGTCTCCGTACATCTCTATCACAGCAATGTTCTCTATCTTGGGTGTGTAAAGCTGTTGTTTTGGGTCAATTTTCTGTTGTTGTTGTGTCCAATGTAGAGCCTCAGAAGTCTCCGTTCATCTCTATCACAGCAATGTTCTCTATCTTGGGTGTGTAAAGCTGTTGTTCTGGGTCAATTTTCTGTTGTTGACGTGTCCAATGAAGAGCCTCAGATGTCTCCGTACATCTCTATCACAGCAGTATTCTCTATCTTGGGTGTGTAACGCTGCTGTTCTGTGTCAATTTTCTGTTGTTGCTGTGTCCAATGAAGAGCCTCAGATGTCTCCGTACATCTCTACCACAGCAATGTTCTCTATCTTGGGTGTGTAAAGCTGATGTTCTGGGTCAATTTTCTGTTGTTGTTGTGTCCAATGAAGAGCCTCAGATGTCTCCGTACATCTCTACCACAGCAATGTTCTCTATCTTGGGTGTGTAAAGCTGCTGTTCTGTGTCAATTTTCTGTTGTTGTCGTGTCCAATGAAGAGCCTCAGATGTCTGCGTACATCTCTATCACAGCAACGTTCTCTATCTTGGGTGTGTAAAGCTGCTGTTCTGGGTCAATTTTCTGTTGCTGTTGTGCCCAATGAAGAGCCTCAGATGTCTCCGTACATCTCTATCACAGCAACGTTCTCTATCTTGGGTGTGTAAAGCTGCTGTTCTGGGTCAATTTTCTGTTGTTGTTGTGTCCAATGAAGAGCCTCAGATGTCTCCGTACATCTCTATCACAGCAACGTTCTCTATCTTGGGTGTGTAAAGCTGCTGTTCTGGGTCAATTTTCTGTTGTTGTTGTGTCCAATGAAGAGCCTCAGATGTCTCCGTACATCTCTATCACAGCAACGTTCTCTATCTTGGGTGTGTAAAGCTGCTGTTCTGGGTCAATTTTCTGTTGTTGTTGTGTCCAATGAAGAGCCTCAGATGTCTCCGTACATCTCTATCACAGCAATGTTCTCTATCTTGGGTGTGTAAAGCTGCTGTTCTGGGTCAATTTTCTGTTGTTGTTGTGTCCAATGAAGAGCCTCAGATGTCTCCATGCATTTCTTTCACAGCGACGTTAAAAGACCTCGATGTAGGTAGCCCACTGTCTATTATTGTAGTTTAAATAATGCACCAACTCAAAAGTTTCAATACGCGTTTCTAGGTATCATGAATTTAGAACAATTATTTTATAATACAATATAATGCGGCTTATGAATGTAGAACGACTTTTAAAAATTATCCAGCATGTGTTTCTTTTGAACGAAAAATCGAAATTTATTTTAAGGAGAAATAACGATTCTTTCCAACCTTAGGGATGAAGTATGAAAGGAATGAATTGTAAAGAGTAATGATAAACGGAAAAAGTGTCCAGGGATGGGAATCGAACCCACAGTGTTACACTTACCGGGCAAATGCCACGCATATGTTAATCCTTTCATACTTCATCCCTAAGGTTAGAAATAATCGTTATTTATTTTTAAATTATATTTTTTTGTTTAAAAGAAACACATGCGGGATAATTTTCAAATGTCGTTTTACAAGTCTGATGTATGTGCTGTTACATATATTTCCATATACTCACACATATGAGCCAGTTAGCACATAATTAGAAAAGAAGGAAGAGAAGTAAAAAAGTCGTAAAAGTTTTTATTAGGAAGACCTTGGTGTGTGTGGAGCGGAATAGGAAGATGGCGTTTGACTAGGTCAACAATGACAAGGAAGAAAGTTGCATAAATTGAATACCTCAATGAGAAATCACTTCCTGGGTTTTCTTGTATGGAACTGTAGACGATCTCTACCTGGGTATCTTCTACTACCGAAAACTACATTCGTCGATACTTAAGCCTACACTCATGGACAGAACTAAAGAAAGTAAAAAGTCTTTGTTATCGAAAGTTTTGGAAATTGGGTGTTGAAATTTTAAAAGGTGGGAAACAGATTGAGTATTAAAAATAAAAAAGGCATATCCTGACCAGGAGCACATGTGCTTTACAGAAGGCAGAGCGCCATCTGGTGGAGCAGAAATCAACTAAACATTGATTAGCCTGTTCCCTGATATTTGGCCAACCCAATTTCTTGATAAATCAAGAAAAGCCAGCCACGAACGCATTTCGCGCTTTTGGCGCTCGTCAGCGTGGAGTAGGCTGTACCATTGCGACCAAAAAGATTTTTGGTCCCAGGGGCTTTTTGAGAAACCAAGAAATGGGTATATAAGACCAAACTTGCGTAAATACGCTTAACACATGAAAAAATGAAAGAAAAAAATAAAAGATTGAGTATTGTAATGACTAAAGATGTACATATATTATGGAAAGAGCTCAATATTTGTTTTTCGTTCGAAACATATTTCAGGTATAGGGGATTCGTTGTTATAAACTAAGGATGTAGATTAACGGATGTAATATTGTTGATGAAATTTTTTTTTCAAATTTATCTCAAGTACAGGCCATGATAATCATGGTAGGTAGGTCCACACATGGTACAGGCTATGATAATCATGGTGGGTAGTTAGCGACTGATTTTACTGTTGTGTGTAGTGGTTATCACATCCACCTAAAACACGGAAGGTTCCAGGTTCGAGCCCTGGCAGAAACATTTTTTATCAGTTGTACAGACTTCAGTCTAGGTAGCCCACTATCCAATGGTGCCTTTACTGTAAGTACACCACATGTCTACACATATGAAAAGCAGTTCGACTTTTGCACTTACAAATGTGTCAAAGCACTGTTTGGTTACTTGCACTCACTGGTTGAGTTAGACTTTTGCAAGAATCAGGGGGCCATTAAAACTTTTTTTTATTTATTTAAAAAAAGTGCCCAATGCGGGATTCGAACCCAGGTCATACAGGTCAGAAACCAACAGTTTAGACCAGTCGGCTACCGACCTCTACCTAGTAATGAATGAAAGGATGCATATATACTGTCTGTCAGCCACGTTCCACAGAGCTATAGAATGGTTGAAAGGTCATTAAGAACCTGACGGGGCCGGAAGTAAAGGTAAAAAAAAAAGGTAGAAAGGAGACGAGATGAAAGGAAGACAAAAAAGTAAAATGAGGACAGTGGCGTTACAACATCAGGGAGGGTGGGTGAAATGGCTTTATACATTGGATCGTGAGTATACTTCCTTTCTAATGATATATCATATTTCTTTGTACTATAGTCAAATATTGAGATATTTGTGTGAAAATTCGAAACTATTATAGACGCTCATGATTCTTTTAAAGATAAAACAATTTCTAATGTCCTTACTGTAATTGAAAAATTAATGGGAGGGCCTGGCTCATCAGTAGTGAACCCTCCCAGCGGTCTATAATAGTTTCGAATTTTCATAATAGATGTTAATGCATCATAATATAAGATCTTTGTGTCTTTTATATTTTTTTGTAATTTGTCGAAATCTCTCTTCAATCTTCCGATAATGATTTCAAATAATATTCGATTCCTAACTGATCCAAGAAGATTGAAATGGTATTTATTGCACTAGATGGCGCTCTTCTATCTAAAAATGCTAATGTGAGCGGTCAGTATATGTCTTTTTTAAATTATAATATATGACTTTATATATAATATCCTTATAAAGGACTGCGGCGTATGATTATAAACAACACTTAAAGTTTCACCGCATAAGTTTATTTTCTGTGAAAAATCAATATTTATTTCAAAGAGAAATATTTACTATTTCTAACTTTTTTGGATGAAGTATGAAAGGGTGAAAATATGAAGAGTAATGGGGAAGTATGAAGTATGAAAGGGTGAAAATATGAAGAGTAATGGCGAACGGAAAAATAAAAGTGTCCAGGGGCGGGAATCGAACCCACAACCTTCCGCTTACCGGGCAGATGCCATGTCCACTAGACATTTATTTATCCGTTCGCCATTACTCTTCATATTTTCACCCTTTCATACTTCATACTTCCCCATTACTCTTCATATTTTCACCCTTTCATACTTCATCCAAAAAAGTTAGAAATAGTAAATATTTCTCTTTGAAATAAATATTGATTTTTCACAGAAAAGAAACTTATGCGGTGAAACTTTAAGTGTTGTTTATATAATATCCTGCTTTATATAAATATTTAATACTAAAAACGCCTAATTCATATATTTTCAAGTTACACACATTGCTAAATACATTCGAAAAAAAATTCTAATAATAAATAATCATTATTTAAAAAAAAAAAGACATTTCCTGTTCTTGCAAATAAAATTTGCTGATATCTTACGCCATCTATCGGAATAAATATCAACTAATCAAACAAACGATTAGTTGAATATTTATTCCGATAGATGGCGTAAGCCATCAGTAACTTTTTGTTGCACGATCAGGAAATGCCTTTTTTTCTGAATTTATCTTCCTGATCCAAGAAAAAAAAATCACTTTTGTACTGTTCCACATACATTATTTATTATTTATATATTTAAAATTTATAGTATAAAGAAATATTTGACATATATTCTATTATGTTAAAACTTTTTTATCACAAAAGAAATAGCTAAAAGTGTATTGTGATAACAGTTTGCTAAAAACTTACCTCGTCCGTCAAACTTGACATAAAAATGGGCTAAAAAAATGTTTGATAGATTTTTTAACGTCGTTCTCTTTAAGAAATTATTTCCCCTTTTCTTCCAGATTTCTTTCAGCCACGTTCTAGTCTTCACTTTCCTCATCCAAATGGACCACGACATTCGGCAATTCTATTAATCTCTTTCGAACGGGAATATTCAAAATTAAAGTGGTCAAAATAAAATAAACTAGGAAAAGGATAATTAATATATACAGTTATCAGCGTCATAATCAATTCTTTCTCAATCAATTCTGTCACCGTTTGCTTTGTGAATGGAATAAATACCCAAATATAGCCATTTCTCATAACCATCGGTGGTTCAGTGGTAGAATGCTCGCCTGCCAGGCGGGCGGCCCGGGTTCGATTCCCAGCCGATGCATTTTTTTTTTACAATTTTTAAAACTCATTTATCTATATTAATAAAATGCAAATTTCATAAGAGGACATCACTAAAAACTTTCGTTACTATGCATCAATTTCGACCAAATTTTCAACATTTATGTAAAACGAGATGGAGCAGGTTTTGCTTAACGTCAAAATATTTTTCCCTAACATTAACATGCGTAACTTCGCTGTTATCGATTAAATACAAAAAAATCAACAGAGTTAATTTTATTTATATATAAATACAAAATTAAATTTCAACAGAGTTAATATTTTTACATACTAGCTAATAATCTCAATCTAAAAATATAATATAGAAAGCCAACAATGAAGAGTGAATGTAAGATAAAAAGCCAACAATGAAGAGTAAATGTAATATAAAAAGCCAACAATGAAGAATGAATATAAGATAAAAAGCCAACAATGAAGAGTGAATGTAATATAAAAAGCCAACAATGAAGAATGAATGTAAGATAAAAAGCCAACAATGAAGAGTGAATGTAAGATAAAAAGCCAACAATGAAAAGTAAATGTAATATAAAAAGCCAACAATGAAGAATGAATGTAAGATAAAAAGCCAACAAAGAAGAGTAAATCTACTTATATAATTGCCTTATTCTGTCTGTGTGAAGTTCACTGTGTGAAGTTCACAGATAGATTTTGGTCAGAATATAATATAAAAAGCCAACAATGAAGAGTAAATATGATATAAAAAGCCAACAATGAAGAATGAATGTAAGATAAAAAGCCAACAATAAAGAGTAAATGTAATATAAAAAGCCAACAATGAAGAATAAATTTAAGATAAAAAGCCAACAATGAAGAGTAAATATAATATAAAAAGCCAACAATGAAGAATAAAGGCAATGTGACACAGCAATGTGACACGGGAAAAAATGTTCACTAGATAAAACTATGATTTTCTAATGTAGAAAATTAGGAAAGACAAAATTCAGGATGACACGGCACACAGGGACCGGGAAAAAATGTTCACTTTATCGAGAGATTCAAATTTACGAGTTTCAAATTATCAAAATATATCTTTTTTTTTTTAAATAAGTTTTTAGAGAATTGTTTTAACAAATGTTCGCTAGACAAACCTTTACTCGGGTAAAACCCCGGGCGAAGCCGAGTACGTTTTATAAGTTTATAGAGAATTGTTTTAACAAATGTTCGTTAGACAAACATTCACTCGGGTAAAACCCGGGCGAAGCCGGGCACATCCGCTAGTATATTATACAAGAATGACATCCACGGCGTCAATTTATAATTGTAACGAATAGTATTTGAATAAAAGCATTTAATCGGGTAAAACCCGGGCGTTGCCCGGGTCATTCGGCTAATTTCACAGAAGTAAGAACATACCAATTTCTAAATCCAACACTAAAAGGCTCTAACCATGAAAATATGTGAATACACTGTAAATATGAACAACCTGTACATATTATTCATTTAAATAAAAAGACATATATTGGATCAAAATACACCAATACCTCGCTTTGCGTCTTTTCGTTTTGCGTTTTTTCGAAGTTGGGTCGCTGATTAATTTTTACTGATTTTCACTGTGCGTCGTTAGATTTTCGAAGTTGCGTTGTTTTGGATTCGAGTCTTTAATTTTTTTTTTTGAATTTTTTTCCTAAAATATGGCAACACCTTTGTTTTTGATTGCGCCTTCACATATTTTCACTTTGCGTTGTTTCAATTTGCGTCGTGTTTTTTTGGAACGTAACCCCGACGCAAAGCGAGATATGGGTGTATCATTTATTTTACCAATATTTCAGTTGGCTGAATGCCAACCTTTATCAAGGTATTAAAACATTTTATTGATAAAGGTTGGCGTTCAGCCAACTGAAATATTGGTAAAATAAATTATATTTTGATCCAATATATGTCTTTTTATTTAAAGATTTATTTATGGATTGCTCTATTTAAAAAAAAAATATAATCATTTTAAATAACATAAGCTAGCTTTTTCTTTTTGAGCGGTACTTAATAAAGTAATTTTGAAATTCGATATTGAAAATTAAGAAGTTGAAGAAAAAATAAGAAAATTATCGAACTCAATACTTCAAGAAAACTCAACCAAACGATATTTTGAAGTTTTGGCGGGAAAACGAAGAATGTAGTCTGAAAGGCGTCTTTAAAGCTATCGCCATTTTTTAGAACTGTGGGCCAACAAACCTGAAATACCTTTATTTATCTATCAGGAAATGGCTTTAGGCAATAGCTTTAATGAGGCAATAAAAATACTAATATTTAGTTGATATTTATTCCGCTAGATGGCACTAGTTATCTTGATTTATCTTGTTGTATGCTCAGAAAAGCTGTTTTGTTCATATAAATGTGTATTCCACTTTGCTGTGTGAGATGAATAAATATCAATTAATTCATAAATACGGGGGGGGGGGGGGGGGCGGGAAATCTATAAATGAATCAATTTACACTCATGGACAAAACTTAAGGAAGTTGTATCTTTTAGCATGTATATCGGGATTCAGACAATAACTCTGAAAGATACACTCATGGACAAAACTTAAGGAAGTTGTACCTTTTAGCATGTATATCGGGATTCAGACAATAACTCTGAAAGATACACTCATGGACAAAACTTAAGAAAGTTGTACCTTTTAGTATGTATATCGGGATTCAGACAATAACTCTGAAAGATACACTCATGGACAAAACTTAAGGAAGTTGTACCTTTTAGCATGTATATCGGGAATCAGACAATAACTCTGAAATATACACTCATGGACAAAACTTAAGGAGAAGTTGTATCTTCTAGCATGTATATCGGGATTCAGACAATAACTCTGAAAGATACACTCATGGACAAAACTTAAGGAGAAGTTGTATCTTCTAGCATGTATATCGGGATTCAGACAATAACTCTGAAAGATACACTCATGGACAAAAATTAAGAAAGTTGTACCTTTTAGCATGTATATCGGGATTCAGACAATAACTCTGAAAGATACACTCATGGACAAAACTTAAGGAAGTTGTACCTTTTAGCATTTATATCGGGATTCAGACAATAAATCTGAAAGATACACTCATGGACAAAACTTAAGGAAGTTGTACCTTTTAGCATGTATATCGGGATTCAGACAATAACTCTGAAAGATACACTCATGGACAATACTTAATAAAGTTGTATCTTCTAGCATGTATATCGGGATTCAGGCAATAACTCTGAAAGATACACTCATGGACAAAACTTAAGGAAGTTGTACCTTTTAGCATGTATATCGGGATTCAGACAATAACTCTGAAAGATACACTCATGGACAATACTTAAGAAAGTTGTATCTTCTAGCATGTATATCGGGATTCAGGCAATAACTCTGAAAGATACACTCAATTCTCAAATTTTATCTATGATTTTTTTTATTATTATCCCTAGTTTACGTGGTACAGGCCATGATAATCTTGGTGGGTAGTTAGTGATTGCTTTTACTGTAAGTACACCACATGTTTACACATGTGAAAAGCAGTTCGACTTTGCACTTACAAATGCGCCAGAGCCCCGTTTGGTTATTTGCACTCGCTGGTGGGGTTGAACTTTTGCAAGAATCAGGGCCCAATTATTTATAGAGAAAAAGTTCCCAATACGGGATTCGATCCCGGGTCGTAGCGGTCGAAAACCAACGGTCTATACCATCCTTCCACCGACCTCCCACTAGATATAATAATAATAATAAAAAAAACTATGGAATTTAATGATTTTTCTCCAACACTTAATTATTTTATAAAATCTTTAAATGTATGTTGAAATTGATTAATTGAAAGTGGAGAGATGAGAGATGATATGAGGAAAACAGAAGAATTTGTGATATGTAATTAGATATATGGTTCTGTGGGGCGATTGGCATATTGAAGGTCGCCATTTTGGAAGTAACGGTGACCTTGATGTGTGG